AATTAATACTTTGAGATAGGCACAAATAATTCAGTACCCAGTCAGGAAGAGGGAAAAGCCATAACTTGGATCCATGAACATGGACTCCAAGTGGCAAATTAGAATATGCCTAGCCAAGAGGTGTTCATCCTCAGTGTTCGAAGTTCAAGTATGTATTACCTTAAGGCCTTTCTAGAAGTAAAAATCAGTAAGGTGAAGCCTGGAGACCAATTTTGACCTAAATCAAATAGATTGCCAGTTATTTCTCCAGCAAAACTGGGTTTATTTGGGATTATCAAAGAATTGTAACTCAGGGTCTGCAACCATGGTAAGCCACATGCAAGTCCTGCAAGGCAAGGGAAGGAGAACTCTTTTATAGAGAGGAAGATGGAGGGCTGTGGTAAACAAAGAGTCCATAGCTTTTCATTGGCTAAGTCCTTGCCAGGAAAAAAGTGGAGTCTTTCTTCTTTTGGGGCTCCACTATCGTTGCAGGGCATGAGAGCTCCCCCTGCTGGTCACTCCACTCTATTTAACTGAGATTTCTGTTTATTAATTTTTTGTGCCAATTTGTGATATGCTAGCAGGGAGCTCTGAATAGTAGCTTTTAAAGTTTTACTTGCCATCTGTTTAAAAAAGAAAGAAAAAGAGAGAGAGGGATGGAAGGAGGGGAGAAAGACAGGGAGGGAAGGAGGGAGAGAGAGTAAGGAAGAAAAAGAAAAGGGAAAAGAAAGATTTTACAACTTGGAATTCTTAGTAAGTAATACTAGTTAATCTCCAAAAGGGGAACCTTGACAAGGTGCTATTATGTGGAATTTTGGACGTCAGATGTAATACAATTTCAGTCATATCTATTTGTCTTCATTGCCTGTATAATGTAAAATTGTTCCAGGCATAGGGCAATACGTTCTAAAGGACATGATACTCTCTTCAAGACTTAGTGAGTTCTCAGTATGGTTTCTAACCCTTCCCAGACTCTAAACTCTCTGTGCTCCTGTTTTCCCATCTATTAAAATTATACATACATGCGCACACACATATAATACGTTTCAATATTACTAGAAGGATTACCTGAGACAAACCATAAAAGGGGGCCTCTTTCCTTCCTCTTGTTTTCCTTTTTGATGTGTGCATTTTAAGACTATCCAAACTGAAATATGCCTGTGCACTGTTTCAGTAACAGGGGCCTGATTACAGAATTATACTGAATTAGGAAAAACAGATTTTGACACTACTCTGCCCAGGACCACTGTCCCCCTGCTGTATGTCTCCCAGACCAACAAGAGTTCTCTACACCAGGGGCCAACTGGATGAATGCCACATACCTATGGAGTAATCCTTCCCCAGCTTTTCTGTGTTAAATATGACCTATAAGTGTCTGTGAATTAAACATTACGACTCTAAGGGCCTAAGAATAGCTTCTGTTTTCATAATAGGTAAATGAGATTCCACTAAGATATTACATATCAGAAACTTAGTGAGGTTGAATGTTTTCAAAGTATGATGATTAAGAGACCATGTGTTTTATTATCTGAATTCCTTGGGTAAATGATAGCAGTAGCTTTGGATAAGGCAACAGTATCCATTATCAGGAAAACTTTTCTGTTACTAACCTGTTCAGTCTTAGTTGGTGTGTTTGTATTGACTTCATCATTCGGTAGTTAATTTAACCTGAAAACAGAGTAACATTTGCAGTTACAAAAATAATAATTGAGCTAACATTTTGAGTGCTTGCTAATTGCTATGCATGGTCCTAAGCAATTCACATGAATTAACTCATTTATCTTCACAACCATCCTGATTCCTTCTTACAGGTGGTAAATCTGAAGTTCAGAGCAGTTCAGTAAATGTCTCAAAGCCTTACTTCTGTATTTGTGACTTACTGGAATTAATTCAGTATTAAAAATATAAGGCTGTTACATATGTATATTTTTGTCAAGGAAGCAGTTACCATTCTGATTCTTAACCAAAGGTGAAGATAGTAATTTTGTTCACAAGTTGTTTACAAACTCATAGCAGTGGATTAATAATCCTTTTAGAACCTCTCCTGTTACTCAGTTTACACAACTGTGGTTAAGTATGTAGATAATCAAATCCAGCATATCGGGAGGTGGCCTTTAGTGAATTAGAACCTTTGTGTGAAATGAACTAGTAAGTTCAAGTTAATGACGAGATGTAAAAAAATTCCGTAGTAATACTAGTGTTGCTGCTGTTATTTCTTTCCTGGTTTTACCTTATACTTTCTTTGTAAGAAAGAAGCAATCTTGTAATATGTAAGTTGGGTTTGATTTAGAGAAGAGGCCTTCTTTTTCTGTGTCTAGTTTCAAGGAAGTTCTAGGCAAGACCAACTCCCTCTTTTGCAGATGGATGTGGTTAGGCTGAGAAATTAATAAGGGGGCTGATGATTCCATAGTAAAGATCTTCTGTTCTTTAGGGGTGTCTTGTATTTGACTCTTTTTTCCAAGGCCAGGATAATTTACTGGCAGGAAGACCAGTATTCTGCTTCTCACTCTCAGTTTTGCCACACAGAGATTTTGAAAGGCAATGTAACAATCATTTCTAGTGCAATTAACATCAGAGAAACTTTCAGTTAATGCAAAAAGCTACACTGATTTCTAAGAGTGCTCTCCCCTACCCTATCCTGTTTTATTTTCTTGTCTGTAAATTAGGAATAGCTCTAATCTACTATAGTAGTGGCCTGAAAATGATCAAATGGCTGCAAAGTGAAGCTTCTAGTGCTACTGTGTATTTTTTTATGATGTCTATCTTGAGATTTCAACGTTGTTTTTTCGGAGTAAGCCAGTGCATACTGGTAATTTTCATAGATCCCTTAAGGGAGCATTCTGTGCTTCTAGAAAGCTAACCTGTGATCCCTCTTGGGTAGTAGTTTTAAAATTTGTGCATGCATCAGATTCACCTGGAGGGCTTATTAAAATATGGGTTGCTGGGCAGCACCTCCAGAGTTTATGATTCAGTAGGTCTAGAGTGGGGCCCAGGAATTTGCACATCTACCAAGTTCTCAGGTGATGCTGATGCTACTGGTCCAAGGACACTTTGGAATCACTGATCTAGGAAATGCTACAGAGATATACTTGCTGGGGTCACTGACCATCCAGTGAGATCCATTTCTATGGGTCACTGCATTGAATGAATGCCGTGAATATGATTTTTGTCCTCTTGGCAAAGTGGATATGGACAAACAATCTGTGGATACACTATTTGGAAAAATGAAAGTAGTAGTTCAAAACAGACTTTCTTGTAAACTATTAAATGCATATTAATATCAAGTATTACCCTAGGGTAATGAAATAAAGATCACAGAATGTAGGTGGGGTAGAGATGGCAGATGGAGGGGAATATTTGTAGGTTTAAGACTTTTAACTGTCAGCCTTTCGGTACTTATTTAGCCAATCCTAGAAGACCGTGTATCTGAAAGGGAAGACAGCTGACAGTGAGGAGATACTCAAAGTGTAACACGAGCTGAGGTAAATGTGTTTTCTGGGGTGAAGGACTCACTTCCTTATCTCTCCTTAGTAGGAAATACTCAGTTGATCATGAGAATTATAGAATTAGCGCTGTCATCCAATTTTCAAAAATAATTCAAATCAGCACAATTGTTCCATTTTTCTTAAGCTGAAAATAAGTTATTTTCTCTTCATTTTTTCTTTATAAAAATGTTCTTGTATAAAAGTCTAAAAAATGAAAACTGTTATCTTAAAATCTTCTTAATGTATGGGTGCTTTTTAAAGGTATAGTTTCACAAGCGTCACAAAGTTTTCAAGTGGCATCTAAGCCCATATTTTCTCATACACTGCCCTTGTAATAATACCTTGAACCAATATCTCTGAAAAGTTCAAAGCTATTCCAGTATCTTTATATCACTTATTCTCAAAATATGTCTGGGAGGATGCAGGAAAGGTATTATTAAACCCATTCTACAGGCAGGACAACTGAGGTCCAGAGTGCTTACATAACCTAGGAAATGAGTGGGCCAGTCTGTTATTATACACTTGCTTTAGAATTTTAGCATCCTGCCTTCTGTTTGAAGCCACATGTTATGTACTTCCAGAATGAAAAGTGTTTTTGTTTTTGAATCAGGGCTTTGTAAAATGCCAAGTCATTTAATCCTAACTGATCTTTGTCAACTCTTTCTCTAGGTGCTTAAGCTAAGCTTATTCTTATTACCTCTGTTCTCTGTTTTAACAAATTTACATATACCTTTCTCATTTTTATAATGATATTATTATGGCTTTTTTCTTACAAAAGTAATATATATTTATTGCAACAATTTTAGAAAATATTTAAAATATTGCAAATAAAAGTAAACCTCTGATGCCATCACCCAGAGATATCTGCCAGTGCCACCTTGTGAACATGTATCCATTTATTTTTCTACAAAATCCTTTAAGATGGAAAAGGATTTTTTATATTAAAAATGTATGCTGAACTTCTTTCTATGTTATTAATATATTTTACAACCTTTCTTATGGTAAATGCTATTGAAGCATGGCAGACATGCAAAAAAGTAAACAGTCATCAGTGTACAGTTTAATGAACATTCACAAAGTGAACATCCCCATGTATCAGTCTGAGACCAAGGAAGGAACACTGACAGACCTCTAGAACCCCTCTGTGCTCTGTCCTCACTTCCAATAGTGAGGCACTCCCAAAGTTAACCATCAGTCATTGTTGCCTCACTTTTAATTACCTATAAATGACATATAGTATATAGTCTTTTGTGTCTGGCTTCCTTTGTTCAGCATTGTGTTTATTAGATACATTCTTGCACAAACCCTTCTCAGTGGCGACACAATATACTGTTATTAATGGATTACTAGGATTTTCTCGAACATGAAAGCAAAATACACTCTTCTGTGGGACATTAAAGGCATTTCTAATTTCTCACTGTCATAAACAATGTTGTTGTGAGCATCCTTTATTGTTCTGCTCACATTCCTATACAGTCCATAGGATAAGTTCCTTGAAACAGAAATGCTGGTTTTAAAGATATTCACAGCATTAGGGGAGTTGTATAGCTCAGTGGTAGAGCACATGCCTTGAATGAATGAGGTCCTGGGTTCAATCCCCAGTGCTTCCATTAAAAATAAATAAATAAACCTAAAGATATTCACAGTGTTGAGAATTTTGATGAGTATTACTAGACTGCCTTTTAGAGTGGTGAAAATGTATTTCCACCAGCAGCAATTGAGAGAGCCTCTTTCCCAGTATCTTCTCCATCAGTGTATATTACAATTTTCTTTTATCCTTAAGGTTCTGTGGTCTCTGGTCTGAGCATATTAATAGCAGTATTTCTTAATTCAAATCTTGAATTATTTTAGAGAAACAAGGACCAGTTTTTATTTTTTAAAGCTAAGTTATTTTCATGCAATATGGTATCTGTATGAACCAGATTTTTTGTTTAATGCTTTACTCTTCAGTTACTAACTCTTCTTAACAGACATCATGATAGATAAAGGATTCCACGAATGTACACAGCCTGACCTAGTTAAATATTTCACTTCTCAAATATATATTGTTCCAGGGTGTGAAAAGAAATATGAATAGTGTTCTTTATGTCTATATTTTAATTGCTTTCTATTCCCTTAAGTCTACAGAGATTTATTAGTCTAAGTAATAGGTATTGCCCCGTGTTTTCATAACTTGAATGTTTTCTTCCCTGAAGTCTTTTTTAAAGAAATTTTTTCTTATTCTAAAAGTAGCATTATTATGTGAAAATAGGTAAGTCAGAAGAGAATGAAAATCTGTATTCCCTCTACTTCGTTGCTTGTTTGCCATGTCTTATTGCAGTCATTCTATTGTACATTTATAGAATTATTTCTTACACAAACACAGAAAAATGAATTGTACTACACACACTGTTTCATAACCTGATTTTCTCCTCTTAATATATCACGGACAGTTTTCCATCCAATCATCTCTTGATCCAAATAACATCACTCACTTGATTAGTATGTTATCTACTTATGTATATTCTCTCCAAAAGTGTTTGTAAACACCAAACGGTAAAGAAGGTGAAAGTTCCTTCTTCTTGTGGAATTATCTGGCAACACTTGTGTTTGGTGTTGAAAGAGTCTTGGCATCCTGGGACCCGGGGAGCCCAGGTGAGAATGTGTTTATTGATGTGATTCTCCAGGCTCTGGCGCACGCCCTTCCCTCTGCTTGCTCCTAGCACCTCTGTCTGACCAAAAGGAAATGCAGCAACTCCTCCTTGACTTTCACGTACATTTCAGTTTCCAGCCATGAATCCTGAAAACAGAGATCTGCAGTTTTCTTGGCTCTTTTCTAAACAAGCTATGTCTGGGAAGCAGTCAAATGGCTATATTTGTTTCCCAAAGTGTCACTGTTGTTTTAACTTCATTTATAAGCATGCCATGCTTATCAATTAGAAGTGCTGTCTCCATTCATAAATTGTATGAGCTGATGGCACAATGGTTAGTTAACTGAAAAAATATGCAATCACCGTAAAACAAACGGTTTTAAATTAAGTTAGTTAGGATTTGGAATGGAACCAGTATTTTTCAATTAGAATGTGGATGGGAAGGCTTAGTGCTGTGGTTCCACAGCAGCAACGTTATTTACAGCGGTAGTCCTTTCTAGTTAACCTAGCAGAAACCCGTGTGTATTTTTAGGGTTCTACTGTTGTTTATACTTTGTATACTTAAACAGACAATCCAGTGAGAAATACGGATTCTCTGATTTAACTTTTTGCCCAGGATAAAAGAGGTAACATAAAACTTGGCTTCAACCAGGGAAAAAAAAATATCTCTGAAGATCAAGTATGATTTACTTACCAGGCCCAGTCAATGTTTGAGTATCTGAAAGGGTATTAAGTGTGACAGTATGTGTTTGAAAAGTTTGTCATCTTCATCCTTTGACAGAGCTAAATCCACAAATCATTAGGTCCAAAACCAAACTTGCGATGAAGGGTCATTGCCTTTTTCCACCAAGCCATCTAACCTCTAGTTTAAGCACAAGTATAAAACCATCTGCTTACCAGGAGGCCGAGGAGCTCAAAATCCATTAACGCCATATGTATCAACAGAAGTGTGACTTCAGAGCCTCAAATGTTTTCAGTTTTTTTCCTCCATTATTATCTGCCAGAAACTTAGCTGGAATGCTTTCCCTCTCCTTAAAATGCACTGAATTTCAGTTTAATTATGCAAGTCCCCTTCTTATTAAGCAATTACACACTTTTCTCATCTGTGTGTCCATATTTCAGAAGTAACTGCTTCATTTTATTGAAAATTAACCAAAAAAAAGAAGTCAGATTTTATTTTCAATTTCCCTTCTGTCTCTCCAGGGGAACTAACATCTTTCAATGCATCACAAAATAAAGATGCTGACTCAGTCTCTTAAATCATCGCTGGAGTCTGCAGCACAGCCCTTAATGAGACAGAGTTTGCTGTACAAGAAGTTGTTTCATTAAGTGAGTGAAAAATAACTTTTCCTCCTCCAAAAGTGCCCTCAGTGAAATAATTTAAGTCTGAAACCCAAACCTCCTATGCTTATCCCAAAACACAGGGGAGGTAAACAATACAATTTCAGAATGACAAAATGGCTACTTAGTTGCAAATTATATTTTGGAAATCTCACCCAAAATGAGAGGTTAACTGTGGTCAACACATGAAAGTAAAGTGCTCGCCAACTAAAAAGACAAAACAAAACAAAACAAAACAAACAAATCAAGCAGATCTTCAGAGGGCAAGGAAGAAAATGAAGTGGGAAAATTTCTAATAGAGTTCGTAATAATTGTGCCTTATTCATGTGGACGTAGGTTTGTTGAAATAATAATCTTTCATATTTGTGGCTTATAAAACATATGCATTTTTATATCAGTTACTTCATTTGATGCTCACAACAACCTTAAGAATGAGGCGGAAAATAAATTACCTCCCCTGATTACAGACCTGTGATCTGCAGTTCAGGATTGTTAAATGACTTGTCCAAGGTTCTGTGTGGCTGGTCAGTGGCACATGGCCACTGACTGAATGAGCCCTGCCCTACTGCCTTTTTTAATTAACTGATAGAAAACTATTTATATAGAAGTTCTTAGCACTTCATAGTGACTCAGCTGTATCATTGAAACAAAGGGAAGTGAAGAATTACTGGCACATATACTCTACCTAAAACATTAAATTCAAGTGGTTAATTTCAGCCTGCTGTAAGCAAATCTTTCTAAGATGCTCACAGCCACATAGTAACCACAGATATTTAAGCTCCTCTTTTGTTTACAGTGACACTGGCTGATTGAAGTTTCTCTGATTTTCCTTCTGCCCGCTGGTAGAACAATCCAATGGCAAAACAGCAGGAGGGAAGGGGAAGAAAATTTAAAAAGATCTGTATATTCTGAAAACTCAAAAACAAAACTTTGAATTTATTGATTGACCATGAAGTAGCATCACCCTGAGGATTAGTTATCGATCTCCTAGCTGACTACAAAATAGCCTCCTAACTTGTCTCCCTCCTTCTTTCTCTCCCCCTTCCCTCCAGCCTGTATGTTGCCGACAGATTATTCCAACTGTAGTTACCTTGTGCAAACCTTCCACAAGCTAGAATCCTTCCATATACCCCCCACCCTAGTATTCAAGACTTCTGCAGAATAATAACATTTACCATGTATGAGACAACTATGAAACAGATACCTCAAGACAATCTTGGGAAATGTATGATTAATTTAATTTTAGTGGTGAGAAAACTGAGGCTGGGGGAGGTTAAATAACTCCCTCTAGATTGGATATTTACCCAGTGGTGGTGCCAGTGTCCAAACTCAGGCATGCCTAACTCCCACATCCAGCCTGCCTGTCTAGGTTTGTTGCTGACCACTAGGACATACATCGCGTACATTTCCAGGAGCCCCTGGTGCTCGTTTGCAACCATTCCCAGCCCCGTCACAGTTCTGGGCTCTAGTGGAGTTTTCCCACCTGGAATCTTCTCCCCAATCCTACTGCCTGGAGATGCTAGTTCTTCAGGATGAATCTCAAACATCACCCCCTCCTTGAAGTCTTTCCTGAATCTTATCCCCAGTGACCTCCCACACGTGAGAAAAGTCTCCTTCTTTGAATACTTTTAGATCTTTACATAAACCTTATGCTACTCACCTTCTTTTATTATGTGTGTATTTTTTTTCTTGGCCTCATTAGAAATTCGCAAGCTTTTTTAAAACAGGAACTGGGATTTATTTATTACTAATATCCTTGTAGCTCTAGCAGGGATTTACTGCTTCAGTAGAGACCTGTAATGTGGAAAAAGAAATACCACCTGTATCCAGAGAAAACTAATTTGAAAAGATACCTGAACCCCAGTGTTCATAGCAGCACTATTTGAAATAGCCAAGAGATGGAAGCAATGTAAATGTCCATTGACAGATGACAGATAACTGGGTAAAGAAGATGTGTGTGTACGTGTGTGTGTGTGTGTGCGCGCGCGCGCGCACACACACACACACACACACACACACAA